AAAAAATCCGTTTAAAAAATAAAAAATAAAAAGACTAAAACTTAATTAGCAGTGGGTGATGAGAGTTTAACCGTTACCAAACGTAATGAAAACAAACCTGAAAAGAAAATTGTATGGAGTCCACGAATAGCCAAAATTAAGAAAGTGAAAATGAGTTGACATCTGAAACTAACAGCAACAGTAACAAAAACAAAGACGACAATGCAGCGGCCGAGGAATAGCCCTCATACTGTAATTCCCCACCAAAGTGTATAAACAACATGTTCCTTGAGAAAGCCAAGAGCGACGAATATATTATCAAAAAGATGGGCTATTGGTAGATCCCGTGGAGTTAGAGAAGGTTGAAAAAAGAATCGTGTTAGTCTTTGTAGTAGACAAGCGTACGCATAAAATTTGTTGCTCCACAAAGACACTGTTATTAAAACGTTGACGTCCCTGGAGTCAACCATGAAATAATTATCAAGGGAAAGGAATGCTACAAGTGGGACATATTGTTGCTCACGCCAGCCGACTGTGAGGACGCCGCCAGTCGGAATTTAATCACAAAAGACCTCATTTAAAGAATTAAACTTAAGGGCAGACCCAGTGTCAGTATACGAGATCCCACCTCAGTTCGTAGGGGAGCACTTGGCCGCTTATCTAATTCATTTTGGATAGATGCTCAGTGCTTCTTCTGACGACTTGAACGGGGGATGGAACTTCGAGATTTTTAGATCGTAAAGCCTTAGTCTCCGCCCCAACTGTCTGGATTTAGAAGGCCAGAAATGCCGGTAATTGTGACCAAAATGTTGGAAGTGCGGAGAGCCTGGTCACCACAGAAGAAGGCCTCTGCGTGTCCCCTCCGCCGACCCAAGTTCCCCTTTGGTTGACTCTGTTCTTTCCGTTTCGCATGTAATGAGCATCCCAGTGACCAGCACCGGTATCGTAAAATATCCGGTTGGATCCATCATTTCGCGAACCCCATTCCGTAAAAAGCCTTTGCTCGACGCTTGTGAGGTTGCTGAGAAGGAAAAGAGGGGATGGTAGGTCGTTGGTAAGACCAAAGGGAAGCTTTAGGCAGCAGGAACTCTGCCCCCGGAAGCCTCCACGGATAAAACCACAAACAGCCCCCCCACTCTATGAGTTCCAAGGGTGATGACCTGGCTACATATGCGGAGAAAATCAGAGCGACTAAAATACGAGCCGAGCTTCGAAAAATTCAAAGTTTTGAAGGATAAAAAAAAACATCTACCTATATAGCTGACCCTTCTTCTTCGGCACCGTCTTCTCCATCACTCAAAAAAAAGACCATGACTTCACCCCAATGACCAAATAATTAAATCCCACCCAAACCAAAATGACCAGAACTTGAAAGAGTTCCCTCTGCAAAATGACCAACAAAAAAATGACCCCACCTCTATCCACTTCAAATCTATCCCCTTCACATACACCTATGAAGTCACCCATGAAAAATGACAACGCATCCCATCAGCCGAGCCAAAGAAAATGTCTAAATGAAAGATAAAATCAAAACAAATTCACAACATTGAGGAAGACGTGTACCGAGTGACACCAGAACAAACTGATAAAGTAAAAACACAATCTAGAAAGAAAAAAAAAAGTAATTTGAAAATCTTGTTAAATTTAAAAGAAATAAATGAGAAAGATGTGGAAGACCCCCAGAAACTTTCCCAAAGAGAAAAGGATATTAACAGTGGTAAGAACGGGTCCAGGTTAACAACAAGTACCGGCAATGCTGCACGAGGCAAAAGATAACTTTTCACTTTTCCATTTTTGCCTTTTTTTGACAACGAAAATATCACAAAACTTAATACTGTTCAGGGAGACTCCCGTTTTTTTGTAGACCCATGCCTTTATAGAGCACTAAAATTAACGTTCCCCTGGGACATTGTTGACCTGGCTATTGATGGCACCATCAAGATGGAAATGGGCCATGGTTCAATGTTGCAGGCCGTCGGTGTCTTCACCCTAGTCATGTTCAATTCAGAAAAGCAACCCTAATCGGTCTAATAATGGCACTCTGGTTAGTGTGAATGCCCGGGGCCTGAGCTCGAAGTCACGCGGGGCGAACCTCACTCACGATCTTCAGCGTCTCGAGATGAATGTATGCTGTCTACAAGAGATCCGGTTTTAAACTTACGACCGTGAGAGCATTCTGTCTAGAGAGTTTACTCTTCATTCAGCATGCTTTGATGAGCAAGTCTTTGGATGCGGCGTGTACTCTTGTCTTCGCAGATCCGAGCGGGGACAGGCTTTGGATTCTGGATGTTACTATGAAGGATAAGCCTCTTCGTCACATTGGGGTTTATGCGCCTAATGACCATATAGAGCGGCCTGATTTGTTTCGGCGGATCGAGCCGTTTTTGATGACATCTCGTCGGGTAATTTTAGCGGGAGAATTGGAATGCCGTTCTTAACCACGACATAGGTCGTATCGGCGCAACCAAGATGTGAAACCATTTGTAGACTTTATCGACAAGTTCGATCTTGTCCATAAATATCATAATGAGCATCCTCGGGAGGTACTGTGGTCTTGGACAGTTAGGGGCGGCTCAGCTACAGCGGTGTGTTCTAGATACCTCGACCAAGTCTTAGTTAAGAGAGTTAATGTAGGTCTCTTAGGGTGTCCAAGTTTTCATTATATAGTTTACTCGGATCATAGGTTCGTCCGTGTTCGTGGAAACTTACATAAGCCTAAGGTTAAGATGGCTAGCTACTGGAAATTGAACATCATTATTTGGTGAGCAAGATTTCCGGGGCCAGCTGCTACTAATGTTGCAGTGTGAATTAACGGGGGCTGTGGTTGGGAATATATGATGGGATAAGTTAAAATTCAAAATTAGGACGCTTGTTGCTGAGTATACTCGTCGGCTTAGTCTAGTTAGATAAGCAGAGCAAACGACGCGTGAAGAAAAAGTTGATCGGGCGATTAAATCCCATGATAGTGGGGACGTAGCCTTAGCTAGGGCAGAGTTGACCTCCTTGCTTATCAAGAAGGATCAAGCTCTGATAGTTATGGCTAGGTTAAAAAGAATGTCTTCTGAGGCAACAAATATGGCCGCTGAGTTGCG